CCCCATGAAGCGGTATATAAGTCTACTGCTATTGCTATTGCTATTGCCAAGGTTGAGAAACACTGGTGTACAGCAAAGAATCACACAGTACGAAGAAACGGTTTTTTGTTTGGTGTACATGGGTGGTTGTGTTTCTTTTCTTTTTAAAGAAAAGCTCAAGGAGGACATTTTTGGGGCCAAAAAAGGACATTCCATTTCAGCCAAGAATCAAGTCTTTGTGGTGAGCCCACCTTCGTCAACCCAATGCACAATGAACAATGGCCCAAACCAGCTTTGACACACTCCCCCTCCTCACTTGACACAAGGAGAACCCATTGTGTCAAGGGAAGAGGGGTGGGGAGTGAGGAGTTGGAGGCCAAACACTCGTTCGCTTGTTCTTCTCCCCTCCAGGCGGCCTTGCAGAAATGCTGAGGCAGCACTTGTGTAAAGAGGTGGTTGCAAGACAGGACGTTCTTCTCTGAAGAACCTCAATACCTTTGCAGGTTTTCAAATAACTGGGCTTTCTGAAGAAAAAAAGAAAGAAATGGGAAAGCATCCAATTTAGCCTGGCTATCTTGCTATCACAAGGACGAGTAGAAGGAAGAAGCAGAAGTAAGTTTTTGTCTGATGTAGTCCAAACTACATGGTTTGGTTCATAAATGGAAAAAAAACACCCTCAGAGATGGCCACATTTTAGTCTGCGGGGAGGAGACATCTACGCTAAAGCAAGATCTTTATGGAAGCCAACCAAAACACCACCAACCTGATGTGTCCAAGCAACATATTCAACCTGATTATTAGGTTCAGCTTGGAGGGTTTCAAGAAGAGGCTGGACAGCCATTTCTCCAGAATGGTATATGGTCTCAATCAATCAATCAATCAATATAAAACTGCAGAAATGGTCTTTGGAAGTCACCTACTCCTACTCATGGGTGTCCAACATCAGTGAAGAACTCAAGTGGGAGGAAACCATTTTTCAAAGAGCCCACCTTCTGGGCTTTTTACCTGTTCCTTGAAGGATGATGTTCTCCATGGGCCTGAGGACCAAGGAAGACCAGAAGGAAGGAGTTGCTGATGCAACTCAACGCATGTTAAACTTTGTCAACTCCCAGCATTTGCCTTACCTTGTATGGTTCTCCAAAGAGGTTAAAGCCAGATGCGAAGAGGTCTTCATCTTGCTGGATTTCTTGATTTCTCCGCTCCCATTCCTTCCTCTTGAGTGCGTTTCGATCTTGTTCATAGTGGCTGCAATTTTATTTGAAAAAGAGAGAGAAATAAGCATTGGCTTAAACAAAAATAGTAAGAAAATGTCTGTTCGCCCTTAAAAGTCTAAAAAAAAGAAAAAGAAAAAAAAAGAAAATAGTCCTTGAAAGATTTTGAACGTTTGAGAAATTTAAAGATAAGAGACATCTGATTCTAGAAGGCCTTCACACACACACACACACACACACACACCAACCAGGGATGGGTTTCAAATTTTTTTACTACTGCTTGTTTGTTATGTGGCTTTTCTCCCTTCATTTCTCTCTCCCTTCATGTATCTATCCATTCGTCCATGCAACTATATATCATTCACTTTCAATTCCTCCTCCCTCCCTCCCTCTCTCCCTCCCTCCCTCCTTCCTTCCTTCCTTCCTTTCTTTTTTCTTTCTGTTTCTCTCTCTCTCTCTCTTTCTCTCTCTCTCTCTCTCTCTCTCTCTCTCTCTCTCTCTCTTTCTTTCTTTCTTTCTTTCTTTCTTTCTTTCTTTCTTTCTTCCATTCAGATTCCATACAGCTTTCTGAACCCTTAAGGCAAACCAAACCAAGTGGTCCTCACTTAATGGACGGTTGCTTAGCAAGTGTTCTAATTTACGACTGACCTCCCTAGATCTATTTGACCTGTTTTGGGAGTTTTGACAGCCATGCGCGTGTGCGCGCGCACACACACATACACACACACACACACCACAAATAAGAAAGTAACAATAATGGCCCCATATTTTTCCAACTCAAATGCCCGTCTTCGTGTCATTAGAATATCCCCAAATTATTTATTGCAGCCATTCGGAGGATCTCGGGGGCTGCCCTGCCACTTGACTCTCTCCTTGCGTCATTCCACACACTGAGCCAAATCCACAAGTTCACTGCCTCTGGTGCTGTTTATGCTGGCAACATTTCTCGGGTTATCCAAGGCTGGAAGGCTGTGGCAAATCTTTTTTTTTACTCCTTCCCTCCCTTCTAAGGAAAGGCACTGAGAATCAGGCAGGGAATGGCCCACATCCCCATTCAAAGCGCAAATCTATGAAGTTCCAAGCCGAAACCCTACAACTTTCCATTAATGAAATGTGATCGATGGAAGAAACAAAGCAGATAAATCTGCGTTGTTTCTGAATGGGCAGATTATCCCAAAAGATGCAGTTCAGCGGTGAGAAAATCAAGATTCTGCCCTTAGATGCCCAGATACACAATAGGCTGGCCTTGGCTTAACAGTGGACCACCAAAATTTCTGAGATGGTCAAGCACCCTAAACTAACAGAAGATGGTTTAGGAAGATGAAGATGGTTTATGAAGTCAACATGATCTCTTTCCTAAGCCATCATATTAATGGAACAGAAGTTGAACACATCTGTAAGCAGGACTGGAGGCTGTGTGTAGATGAGGCATTTTAATAAGAGAAATTTATTTATCCAGAATGTTTTAACAGTTTGGCTTTAATTTTTATTTTTTATTTTTTTAAAAAATTCCTTTCTACTGCTGTTTCCATGTTTAATTAAATTCCACCACCCTAATGCAGCCTGACATAACTCATTACTAAAACATAATTATATAGTAAACAAGCAATATAGCATTTACTATTTCCTAGTAAGTTTTTAAAAAGGATTAATAAAAACGAAGCTCTGTAATTGCTCAAATCAATGTGGATAATTATAATCTGCCCTTCTAGGTAACGGAGAAATATAGTAAATGGGATACCAATGGCTGTAGTTGTAAATCAGCGTTTTGAAAAAGTAAATGATTGCGTCGACATGGGCCTTTTTGCCTAGGAGAAGAAAACCAACGGGAAACTTGGGACACTTGGTGGCTCAGCGGGTGAGATGCTGAGCTTGTCAAATCAGAAAGATCAGCAGATCAGCGGTTCGAATCCCCAGTGCTGCGTAACGGAGTGAGCTCCCGTGACTTGTCCCAGCTTCTGCCAACCTAGCAGTTCGAAAGCACATAAAAATTGCAAGGAGAAAAAATAGGGACCACCTTTGGTGGGAAGGGAACAGCNGTTCCATTCTGTCTCCTACTCTACTCTACTCTACTCCTGTTCTTGTTCTATTTTATTCTATTCTATCCTATTCTACCCTACCCTGCCTACCCTACCCTACTCCATAACACCCCACCCCACTCTATTCTATTCTATTCTATTCTATTCTATTCTATTATATTCTATCGAACATGCCATGTTGTCCCCAGCTTCAACCAGCCAATCAGCCTGGCTGGTTCAAGTGATCCCCTACTCCCCAATGGGTAAGGGCTGCCTACTAGCTCACCGAGAACCTTTTCAGTTATCAACTAAGAAGGAAGGGAGAATTGCTGGGAAGCGGTGCAGAGCTCTCTAGCCTGTAAAAAACAGTGGGGGGTCAAAGTAATTGCCAACCAACTTCTGCTCCCGCATTGTGATGAATAGCAGTTTCAAGTGTCCTTTTTTGTATTGTTCTGAGTTGCCCCTGGACTACTAAAGATTTTGATGCTGGGTGCTTTTTTTTTGGCCTGCGTCCAGCTTGGTTACTTCGTAATTTCTTTCAAAATGAGCATTCAGGAGAGCCTCCTTTTTTTTTTTAAGAATCAAAGAGAGATATAAATACAGTTATCAGCTGTATTTGCAAAATTCAGTCGCTTTTATTTTCTGGAACTACACAGCATGTATTTTTGCAAATCAATGATTCACAGTCACTTTCTGTAAAGCACGGCAATTATTAGGCAAATTCTGACTCACTTTTGGCATTATTGTGTTTTCATCCCCTCTGTACTTCTTGCTCAATTGCCTAGATTTTTATCTGAGGCATCTCTTTCCCCCCACTCTCCTTTTCTGAAAGGCCATTTAAAAGACGGGGCATTGGGCTTCAGATTATACCTGTAGCACAGGGGGAGTGTTCTGATGAGCAAAGAAACTACACCTGGTACAACACGGTAAAAGTGTTGTGGCCCACCAGCAGCCAGTAGAGCTGGCAGCAGAGTAGACTTTGAGGAGGCTGGGGAGGAACCTGGGCCAGTCCTGGAGTCTGGGGAAGGCTCTGATGAGAGCTCAGAGGCAGAGACGGGGCTGAGGCCATCTGGCTGTTCTCAGCTGCCTTCAGAGCTAGACAGCAGTGAGGCAGAGGAACAGCTGGAGCCTGTTCCCAGTGTGCGCATGTGCAGAGCTGCAAGAAGAAAAGAACAACTCATAAATCAGGGTCAACTTGGGAATAAAGCCACAGCCGAATGCTGGCTGGGGAATTCTGGGAGTTGAAGTCTGGACATCTTCAAGTTGCCGAGGTGGCACAGTGGTTAAATGCAGCACTGCAGGCTACTGCTAGATCAGCAGTTCAGCGGTTCAAATCT